AAAAACAAGCATTGTTATTACTTTGTTGATTTGTAGAGCATTCGCAAAATATTGTGCTCCTTGATCGCCGATGTTATTGGTATAAAGGTCGAGTGTGGTGAGCGTCTGTGTGAAAAGTGTATTAATAACGAAGCGAAGTGAAAGGAAGAAGAACAAGTATTGTTGTTACTGTGTTGATATGGAGGGCATGAGCAAGATCTTCTGCTCCTTGATTACCGATATCATTTCTTTGTAAGTTGAGTGTGGTGAGCGTCTGTGTGAAACGTGTGTAATTGATGAAGTGAAGTTAAGAGGAACAAAAACAAGTATTGTTATTACTTTGTTGATTTGTAGAGCACTGGCAAGATGTTGTGCTCCTTTAACACCGATTTTATTGCTATGAAGGTTGAGAGTGATGAGCGTCTGTGTGAAAAGTATGCGAATGATAAAGCAAAGTGAAGAGGAACAGAAACAAGAATAAGTATTGTTATTACGTTGTTGATTTTGAGACCATTAGCAAGATGTTGTGCTCCTTTAGGACCCATTCTATTGTAATCGAGGTCGAGTGTAGTGAGTGCCTATGTGATAAGTATGAATGATGAAGTGAAATCGTGAGGTAAAATAATAAGTATTGTTGTTACTTTGTTGATTTGTAGAGCATCGAGAACAGCTTGTACTTTTTTTGCACTGATGTATTTGTGTTGGAGGTTGAGTGTGGTGAGTGTCTGTGTAAAAAATGTAGGGAATATTACGCTGTAGCTTACGATTGGGGGATGTTTAGTTAGAGTGACAAGATTGTTGAGAGAAAGTATGTTGGATTTTATTGTTTCTTGGTCAAGATACATTACGTGAATATGGTTTTGTAGAGTCGTAGTATTACGTTTAGGTGGCTTAAGCGGTTTTGGTGGAGTTGGTTGTGGCATTGATTTATGCATAGGCCGTATTTGTGTAGGTTCTGTTACAGAGTTGATGATTTGTTTTGGTTATATAAGTGAACTTAACACCGTAATCGAATATTTCTTGTCCTAATTCTTCTGAAAACTTGCGCGAGCGTTCGAAAAGGATGTGTTGTACGCATAATTTAGTTCTCGATCGAATGATGCCAGTTCTGGGTAAAATCACCGTCCAAAGACGGGAGGTTTGGGCGAAAATCCGGTTTTCAGATACAGTTTAGAAAAAAAAACTTGTGTGTCGTTGCCAGTTTCGCTTTGTGACTTGTGCTGGATATGAAAATTGTTGTGTTGGATTCACTATTTAATTCTCTGTGGATTGATGTTATTGTAGAGAGAGATCATCGGGAGAAAAAAGTCTGTGTACCCACACCCATTTGGACCAATGATTCTTCTCGAGAATAACATCATGCTATTGAGAATTCAATTTTAAGTCCAACACAACAGTTTTTATACTCAGCACAAGTGATAGAGCAAATCGGGACAAGAAATACAAAAGCTTTGTTTTTAAAAAGTATGTGAAGAACTGGGCTTTTCCCGAGAAACTCCATGGTTTTAACAATGTCCCATCAAAATAGGCACCATTCAATAGAAAATTGGATTCTGCATCAAACAAACTTTTCGAAAGTCAGCACAAGTTTTGATGTGAATCAGGACAATGATATACTTGAATATAGTACTAACTTTTCGTACATTGATACAGTTTATTTCTTTCAAAATCGCTTTTTTTTATCAAAACAGTAGAAAAAAGTCGTGTCTAGATACAGATGAACAACAAACAACAATATTTTCCTTTTTTTTGTTCTTGTTTCAACATTGTATGTTTATACAGCATACGTGCGTTGAAACGTGGCATTTCATGACGAGATTAAAAAGAAAGTAAAAAAGAAACGGTTATATCTCGATTATGAGGACATTATTTTCATATCTTCATAATAAAAAAATGAATTTTTGAGGAGAGATTGATAACTGATAAATTTGCGTGAGTGAAAAATAGTTTATTGATGTGTATTCTATTGAAGTTATTCTTTTCAAATAGAGATTGTAGAAATGAAAAATAATTTGAAGATCAATAGATAAATATTAAAGTGATGATAGAAAAAGGTTTACCTGATATCGAGGATAGATGTTTAGGATATTGTTGAACCGTTGACATACGTTTGTCATTGAAGACAGCATTGTGAAATCGGATTGATGATCCAGAATCCGGTAGACAAGTTCTACCGGTAATGCAATGAAGCTGACGGCAGTTTGATTTGCCATTACAGAGTTTTGATGAAATGCGTGCTTTGTCGTTTTTTTCTTCACATAAAATGAATACATATTCGCCGTACATTATATATTTAGCATGATGTTGTAATTACATGTTGAAAGGAAAAAACCGTGAAAGAATGTTGTCTACCATACAATCACAGAATAAACATAGCAACTGTACACAACGTTTTCGTAGGGATTATTTCACTAGTATAAAATGGTATATAATAGTTATGAATATTGGGTTCTTAGTTATAATCAACGGAGATTGAAGAATTTTTACTTTTACTCATGTTTTTCAAAATCTATATTATGATTTGATGAGTCAATAGGAAATTTGATTTGTTGACAAATTCATAATAATTCTTAATTTTGTATTGAAAAAATCGGCAAAAGTATCAGATATCAATGAGCTAAAAATTGTAGGAAGACAGGTGCAATCATCAGCGCTAACAGTGCTACCGGTGTTTGGGGGTATATGGGTACTATCTGTGTTATTGATATGACAGCTTCACTGTGCGTTTAGTTGTTGATCTCTTCTTTACGTATACTATCTTACTTAAAGGCATATCGATAGCTATCTACATTCGTCTACGACTGTGAGTAGTCGACTTGGCAACTGCACAGTATATATGAAGTTTATCATGAAATTCTTTACAAATACTGGATGGCAGCTAATACACAACACATAGTTGATACTAACGATGGAACTTTCAATTTCCTTTCCTAGGTAAAGAAAAGCAACTAACGCTAATTGATATAAATCTACATTTGAAAAAAATGTGTTTTCTCAAAGTAGATGATGACACTGAATTTTAAATATAGTTTTAAAAAATACATCAATTATTTTCTTTATTACAACGATGCAATCAAAGTAATTAATACGTTGTTTAAAATAACATTTGTTTCTTGTATTCAGATTAAATTCGTCGACATAACGAGCAGTAAGTATTATTTTGTTAAAAGTAAATTTACTTTTTTATTTAGATCGATTCTTCACTCTGATAACATTGGTATCAGATAGAATTCGATGACATCTATAGATTTTACATTTAATTTATTTAAGTGCAGTGTACCATTAATGAGAAATATTCTAATTCAACTTATTTTCATATAAGTTATTGAAATAAACGGTCGGACAAAGGCTAATGTTCATGATGTACAAAGTTCAATTACATTTTTTTTCAATTCCCGATCTGGCACAAATCTATAGAAGACTGTTTCTCCGAACTCAAGCCATTTCGAACAATGCATTTTATGAATTAAAAAATAAAACTTTCGTTGAAGCTGTTTACACACGATATATCCTTTTTATTCTAGACAGTAATAAAACTTCAAATAGACACGCCAATAAATAGCTATATAAAATATATCCATCATAGAGCGACATCTAATTGATATAAATAGAACAACAAATTGATTCATCGGATATATTTTCTTGACATTGTTTTTTGTATATAAAAAATATTTATTCGAAATTTATTCGTTATTCCACATTAGATATCACCTGTGACAAGAGACCTCGAGAAGATAAAAGAATCTAAAAATGGTATCTGATCTCTTTTTTTATATCTTAAATATCAAAAAAAAAAATTTAATAATTTGAATCTATTTAATACTTCATTTTTAGAAACAAATTCTAATTATCTTATTTTATTTCATTTTAGAAAACTATCTATATGTATATTTCTCAATGATATAAGAAGAAAAAAAAACAGAACAGTACACTTTATGAGTGAATCAACATTAACAAATCTTGATGGAATTCCTCAATATGCATCTGTTGATACACATCATTATCATACACCAATGATACATCCAACAAATGTTGATGATACTTCAAAATCAATGTATGATTAATAAAATCTTCTTTTTTTGTATCTATTTGAATATTCTAGGACAATTATCGTTCAAAATCCATTTGATGATCCATCTAATAATATGAAATATCTACATGATTCATCATTACAACATCAAGTATCTGATAATTTATCATTATCGACAAATAATATGTCAACATCACATAATATTATGCCACATTCTGTTCGTTTCAATCAAGAATTATTAAATACTTTCAATATTAATATTCCAATATCGAGACAAACAGAACCTTCATCACCAAATCCAACTTCGATTACATCGCTTATACCTCTTCCATCACCATTATCAAATAATCTAGGTGTTAACATACATCAATCGAATCAAGCATCATTAACACCAACAATAATTGGCACATATCCAACATATCAGCCATCTTCACATAATAATTTTGATAATTATCATTCGAATCCAACTGGCATTTATATGAATAATCCTCGACCTATTCATAGTAAAGTTAATCCACATAACGGAACAGCACCAATTATTTTACGTTATCCAACAATGGTACAAACACAACAGTATGGACATCAGATGATGAAACCACGCATGATATCTCCAAATACTTACGGAACAATACTACCACAACAATCACCGATTATTTATGATCCTAGTATTCTATATCGAACTGATGGACAACAATCTCATCATGTACCACCCGATGATAATATTCTTAAATCGTTATTACAAATCAATTCACAAGTTGTAAGTTGATTAGATTAATAAAATATTTCTTAATGTTTGAGATTTTTTAGTCATCAGAACCTGCACTAAAACCTCAATCAACACCCAACGGTCATGATCAAAGTTTTAATCCAATTCTTAAAGCACGTAGAAAACGTAAAGCCAATGATTTAAATACATCATGTGAAAATGAAGTACCAACAAAATCACGTAAACGTAAAAGTATGTAAAGTTAAATTTTATATTCGAATTGAAAATTAAAATTTATATTTAGAAAAAAGTACGGAAGAAGCAGAAAAATTTGTTGAATATTCATTACAACAATTACGTGATTTACCTATGCTTACTCCTGTTGAACCATTGATTGATATTAGTAATGAATTATTTTTATCTTCATCAGTAAATATCATAGATATAAAAAAATCGAAATTTCAAGGTGAATTTGGTGATATTTTTATTGATAATGTACAAGATCATTATCGTCCATATCGACGAGCTCCACTAATATCTTCGACAAAATCCTTATCAACAGTCGAACGACGTTATCGTTTATGTTCGAATTTACTTGATCGACCGCCTTGTTTGCCCTCACCACCATTAGTTGTTAATTCATCAGAAAAGTTATATGAACTTATACAAGATAAAAATGATTTACGTGATGATGAAAGTATTATATCGACATCAACAATAGCTGATAATGAAGATTTAATAAATGATATTCAAACGGAAAATATTCATTTATTGAAAGCATTATCAACATCGTATGATACTGATTTACGATCGTTAAGTCCACTATTAGTATCTAATGAAAATCAATCTGATCAAATAATAGTAAATTCATCTTCAAATGAAAATGAAATTGAAAAAAATGATCAAGCATTTGTTGAAGATACAGAGAAAGTAAATAAAGTTTATTTATTTGATACCAAAAACGAAATGAGATAAGAATAAAATTCCCTTTATCTTTCTTTACAGTCAAAGACAACACGATATTATCTCTACTGATGAACAGAGATGATATTGTATAAGAAAATATAAACTAAATTTGATGATTTATCTTTTGAGACATTCATTCAAATAGATAATATTTATCTCTATGAAGAAATGATTTTCATCGGACATTTCAAGGTTAGATTATAGCTGATGTCAATCGTGAGAAATACGACAAAGGATTATTGCAAGTGAAGTTTATAAGTTCCGACTCTGATCTACTTTCTTCATACTATTGTGACAAAACTGTTTGCACCCTCATCCCGAGTAGATATATTAATGAGTTTTAAGGTTGGATGAATTGTATTCACAGAAAATGGTGACAGCATCGAAAATTCCGAAAAATATTTTGCCGAGACCGGGATCGGAATGAAAAAAACCTTTCCCGCCGAACCCTAGTTAAAAGACAAAAAACTGAACTTGCATTTATTAATACTTGTCTTTAGTCTATTCAGGTCATACCATTAGCAATGAATCTAAAAGTTTCCGTTGTATATTTTCTTTCTCTACGATTGCAGTTATAATTTATCTTCAGTCGATCTAATCCCGATCTTTACTTTTGAGAGAGATTATTCATTCTATAATTGATTTAATAATTAAATATCACTTTCTGTTGATCATTGCTTTGCTTGATAATGATCCTTGTATTATATCTTCTGATTGAATATCTCTCTTTGTATTTACAAATAGGTATCAGTTACATTAACATTAACAACTGAAGCAGCAAATAATGTTCAAAGTGTTATTGCTGCTGTTGCTGATTTACTTAAAATAGCTTATCCAACAACATTTGATGTTCATCAAACTTTAAATAATAATAATAATAATAATAATTGTACATGCTCATCAACTATAAATAATTCTAATCAAAATAATAATAATAATTTCTTATCTTTATCTTCACATCTACCTATAACTACTTTAAATCGTGCATCATCAATATATAAAATTGGTCGTGAAACAAATGTTAATATTCAATCTTTAATTGATACACAACCAAAAATTTGTCCAAATTGTTTACAAAATTCAATAACTGAATTTTTTTTAAAAAAACGTTTAAATGAATTACCATTAAATCTTCGTGAAATAACACCAAATTATGAACAATTTGTATATTTTTGTAATGAACAATGTTTCAATACATATATAACTAGTACATATCAACCACCAATAGCACCCGTTAGTATTAAAAAGGAACCAATGGATATTGCAATACCAAAATATCTCCCATGTAAACGTCAAGAAGAACAAGTTAATGAGGTAAATTTCTATATTGAATTGAATAGGTCATACATCTTTTTTTCATTTTAGTTAAAAGATATTAAGCGATGGAAACGATGGGATTCAAATTTATTAACTACAACATTTATTCAACCATCGAATACTAATGAAATTAATGAATTAATTGCAAATATAAAAATACCATTAACATTAAATACCAAAGAAGATAAACGACATTGTGCTTTTTGTAATGGTATAGGCGATATGACAACGAATGGTCCTGGAAGGTATATATTCAATTGTTTCTTTTTTTTCTTATTAAAAAATATATTATCTTATATTAGATTATTAAATCTTGATGTTGGTCAATGGTGTCATTTAAATTGTGCATTTTGGTCTTATGAAGTTTATGAAACACTTAGTGGTGCATTAATGTGTGTTGAACAAGCATTTATGCGTTCAATATATACAGAATGTATTATATGTAAACAAAAAGGTAGTAGTTTAACATGTTTTTATCCACGATGTTCAAATACATATCATTTTACATGTGCAATGGATAATGGTTGCGTTTTTTATAAGGATAAAGTAAGCGAATGAAAAATAAATCAATTTTTTATAATAAATTAATTTCCTATTTGATTTATTTAAGACAGTAATGTGTCCAATGCATGCATCGAAAACAGCAGCCAATGATCAAATACTAGAAGATAAATCAGTCCTTAGAAAAGTTTGGATTAATAGAGATGAAATCAAACAAATTCAAAAGTAAGTTAAGAAAAAACGGCTTTTATAGCCGGAGATATATTGTACATTACGATAGAGTGTCCATTGAGAGAACACCATATCAGCGGAAGGATTTTTCAGCGCAGTGGCGGATCTAGGATTTTTGAAGGGGGAGGGGCGATTTCAGCTAAAACCTATTTTTTCGTTCAGTTTTGCTATAAAAAAATCAAAAAAAAATTCTGAAGGGGGGGGGGGGTGATCGCTCCCTCCTCCTAAATCCGCCACTGTTTCAGCGATAAAGAATGCGCGAAAGTTACAACTGCGAAATACCTTTCGCCCTCATCAAGACGTATCTGATACTATAGATCTATTATAAATAATTAGCGTGTCTTTTCTTACTTATATATTTTATGTTTAGTTATATGAATGAAGAACATGAAGATAAATCTTATATCTTACGTATTGGTAGTTTAATTCTTCATAATATTGGTCAATTATTACCACATCAATTACAATCATCTGTATTTCATAATCGAAATTTTGTATATCCTGTATGTTTTTATTTTGATTTGAAATTAATATTTCTATTTACGAAAAACAAAAATTTAGGTTGGTTATACAATTACGAGATTTTATTGGTCTATGCGTAATCCAAATCGTCGTTGTGCATATATCTGTTCAATAATTGATATGGATAATAAACCAATGTTTCGAATACGTGTACATGAAGATGAACAAATAGAAGAATTTCTTGAATCAAGTGCAAAAGCTGTTTGGCATAAAGTTATTAATGAAATTGATTCATTAAGAAGAAACCATGGTCTTGTTAAAATATTTCCAGTATTTGTTAACGGGGAAGATTTATATGGATTAACAGTAAAAGAAATTTATTTTTTCTTTAAATAAGAAAAATTGTTTTGTTTTTGTAAAATTAGGAACCTCATATAATTCGTTTAATTGAATCATTACCAGGCGTTGAAATGTTACAAAATTATGCATTTAAATATGGTCGATTACAATTATTTGATATGCCATTAACTGTTAATCCAACAGGTTGTGCACGAAGTGAACCAACATTACGAACACATTTTCGACGGTAAAATTATTTATAAAATTACAACTGAATTTTCTAATAATTTCATATTTAGACATGCACATCCATTAACAAGTTCACATTCAAGTCGAAGCGCCGCACAGGCAAGAAATGTGCCTGGAGCTGAAAGTAAATTAATAGAAGAAATATATACTAAAACTTAATTGATTTCTTTTTTGTATTAGCTACTCAAATACCATATCTCAAACAATTTGTACTTTCAAAACCAACTCAATATAGAAAATTAAAAATTGAATGGCGACAGAATACTTACCTTGCTAAATCACGAATTCAAGTAAGTAATAGAATTAAAATAATTCGAACAAGTCTCATTAACTATGTCACCATAAATATAGAAGCATGTTTGCTTTTGATAAAAAAAATAGATAGTAATAGAAACTTAATGATTTGAACTTTCTGATCAACTCTAGCATAGAATCAGAGATGGGCAACTCCAATTTCGAAGTTGGAGTTAACTCCGGAGTCGACGCTTTTTTACCTGGACTTGAAGTGTAGCTGTGAAAAATGAGATGGAGTTGGAATGAAGTTGGATTTGGTGCTTATTCGAACTCCGATGGATCTCATAACGTGCAAGAGAACAGCAAAAAATATCTATACAGAGATGGGCAACTTCAACTCCGGAGTTGACGCTTTTTTACTTATAGCTGAAGTTGCTTACCCTCGGAGTTGCCCATCTCTGCATGGAATCTTATTAGACTGTTGAAATCCATTGCCTGATATTTGAATTTTCTATGATCTAACCTATGCTTATTTATTTAGGGTTTAGGTTTATTTGCCGCACGTGATCTTGAAAAACATACAATGGTTATTGAATATATTGGTGAATTAATTCGTAATGAAGTAGCGAATAAACGAGAAAAATTATATGAAGAACATAATCGTGGAATATATATGTTTCGATTAGATGATGATTATGTTGTTGATGCAACTATGAGTGGTTGTTTAGCTCGTTATATAAATCATTCATGCGAAGTAAAGAGAATTTCTTTTTTATTATTTTATTTTTATTTATTTAATTAAAATAGCCAAATTCAATAGCTGAAGTTGTACAAATTGAAAAAGATAATAAAATAATAATAATAACAAATCGACGTATTTCAAAAGGTGAAGAATTAATGTATGATTATAAATTTGATTTTGAAGACGATTCAAAAATTCCATGTAATTGTGGTGCAGTTAATTGTCGTAAATGGATGAATTAAATAATTAGAAAGAATAAATGACAAGCAAAATTTTCTTTTTTGCAGTGAATCAATATTCATTATTTTAAAAAATTTGATTTCGTTTTTTTTATATGTTCATTCTCTTCTGACTATTATTTACTCTTCCGTCCTCTATATGCGCACTAATTGAGTACTATTCATTTATGTGAAAACAAAAATACTAACATTATATTTAAGATTAATCGAATACTTTCTCTTTTCGTTGATAACTGCACATGATATTTAATGTATTTCTCTTTGTTTTCTTTTTCTTCTTTTTTGTACAAATATTTTTTTTTGCAAAAAAATATAAGACAGATCATATCGCAATTGAGCGACATGGAACGATATGTATATATACGGATTTATGATGGTAAAAAGAAATTCGAAGATTTAGACTATGAATTATTTTTTTCAATTATTGAGTTAAGTCATATTGCAATCACTACTAACATCGGTAATGCTAAGTAACCCGGAAAGGTTTTATTAATGATAAAAGACATAGCAAGTAAAAAGTGTAGAAATATTAGAGACAATCTGATGAACTTATTTCTTTGAAGTCACCAGAAGCGAGAAGCTCGACACGATCGATGTCAACGTTGTAGCAGGGTGCGAGTGGGTGATGGACGTATAGATATGGATTGCTCTTCTTCCACATCAACATCCTTACCCACACCCGCACCACAAAACCTTTCGAGGTGATTTATTTCTATTCCGGATTACTTGACATATTTCTAACACCTACGGTTACAACTAGTGTATGGCTGTTTATTCTATTATAGCAGCAGTATTATAAAGATCTTGAGTTATTTTTATATGCTCTAACATTCTTTGCTGTATCTCTATTTTCTTTATCATTATTTTGATACAACAATGTATCAATTTCAAGGATATTTTCCTTATGTTACTACACGTCAAGCTGTCGTGAGACTAACTCATATTGAATATCCAAGGTTCATATATTAGTTATGTGTCCTTGCCTTTCACAAATCTTCTAACTATAGATATGTCAAATACTAATTTATGTATTTTATTTTATATATAGAATAATAATGAATTGTCAATTATTTTTTTTATGTTTGTAATAATAATGCAACACCAGCAAGTACCCATTTCGATGGTTTTTCTTTTGTTTTTAAATTAAAACGCCAAATATATGTATGTCCTCGTGTTTTAATTCGATATACTGGACAATCATAAGTACCTTTCGTATCTAATCGATCGATAGGTATAGCTAGAAGAATAATTATTTCTTGATTTTAAAATTTTATTTTAAAAAATAAATATACCTTTAACAAATATAACTGGCATTGGTGGACATAATTCTTTTAATTTTCCTTCTACTAATAAATTACTTTGTTTATCCCATCGTGCTCCATCGATAAATAAACTAATGTATAACAAAAAACAGAAATATTCTATAATAATTGATTAAAAATTTGTTTACTTATGAATATAAGCACCATCTTTTGGTGAACTTTGTAATTCTTCTTTTTGTTTTTTCGTAACTTCAACCATAAGACACATACGATCTAATGGCCAGTCTTGTTTTCGTGAAATTGCTTGCATAATTGAAGTAAGAAATGATTGAGGATTAAAAAGACCACCTAACCATACAGAATTTGGTAGTTGAAAATCTACTATCCAATTATCTATTTCACGATAACGATTTAACATATCATGAAACCATAGTCCTAATGAATAAAGTGATGGATAAGCTCGATTAGCCCATTGAATAGGTACAAGATCAAGATAAAAACATTCTTGTAAAATTTCAATTTCATTTGATATGGCTAATTCACCCTAGATTATAAATATGATTTAAAGAATATAAAAGAAATTCAACAAACTTTAAGACCACCATCTAATTCTTTAAGACTTTGTCGTATTTCACGTAATAAATTATTCATTCTTTCGGCTTCTTGTAATGCAACAACAGCATATGGATTACGTTCATCAAGTCTTGCACGTAATTCAACTATATTAAAATCTTCCGGTATATGATTTTGAAATTCTTCAAGAACAGTTCGAATCTAATTAATATATATATATATATATATATAGATTTGTTTTTGACTACAAATATTTATACTTTTTCATCGCGTGATAATGTTGTATTTTGTCCATGGTTTATAGAATTTGTATCTCTTGGTGAAATTTCAATAAGTATACGAAAAAGTTTTTCACTTGTTTGTGAAAGAAAATCAATTTCAGCATTTGGATGAAGTCCATAAAGTTTCGGTGATTCACTTGGAAGTTTATCATCAATATAAGCATGATATGCTTTATAATCTAAGGGTGGTGGTAATGGAAAATCTGGTGCCAAATTGAGATCACCTTCGAACATTGTAGCATTCAAATATGTTTGAAGATAATTACGACATAAACGACGATCCCAATCATCAGTTATATGTCCACCATACATAATTTCACCAAATATATAACGAAGATCTTCCCAAGGAATTTTAACATTCGACTCAAGATAATTACGTAAAACATCAATACATATTTGTAAATCACCGGATGAAAAGGGATATTTTCTATTGAATAGAGAGATTTTAGTTTTTTAAGAATTAAAAATTCCGTCTTCTTTTTTACCTATTCCAGCCAATGGGTCCAAATTTTGTTCGTTGAGATACAACAGCATGAAAATAACATAGAGCAAAAAGAATAACTTTAAATTGAGTATCTTTACTACATGAATCTAAAACTTCTTGATCGAAATTATCCAATGCTTTATGAAGATTAGCTAACATTCCTGTATGTGATTCATTTGTAATTTTAATTGAATTTTCTAATATTCCTTGTGGAATTACATGTGTATTCATATCTGCACTTGGTTCAGCAGATATAAAAAGACGAAAATTTTCTTGTGCATTTTCTAATATTCGTTCTAATTTTCTTTCTAATATTGGTAACCAATGCCGTACTAAATGTATATTTTGTAAAACAATCCAATGACCTTCTTTAGCTGAGATTTCTAAAGCATTTTCAGCAATTATTTCTTGTCCTTGTCCTAATGATATATTATGAAATTTTCCAGCTTGTAATGTATAACCGAATTTTTTGCCTAATGTTTCAACTTCTTTTAATGGATCAACACCAGGTGAAAGAATGAAAAAAATAGGAATCGATTTGGTTGATTCATCATAAATATGTGCAAAGTCTGATGATCGACTTTCAATATATTTTTTACCAAGTTTTTCACCAACAAATAATCTTTAGAAAATAGATTACGATCAGTTAGTAAACAAAAAATGAATATTTTACTTTAATGCATAAAGCATTCGATCAGGTCGAACAGCATGAAGAATACATAATTGTTGCATAGTTGATTTACTTTTCCATTCACCCTAATAAGAAAGTATATTAAGAATGAAATAATAATTATTTTGAATTTATTTACTGGAGGTTTTTCTAATTCTGGTGCTTCACTTTCAACATATTTTTTCCATCGTTTACTTGAAGTTTCAATTTCACGATCAAGACCATGAAAACTTGATACTAATGATAATGCTTTGATACTACCCCAAGCTTTTTTATTAAGAAATTCCACAGGACTTCCTGCATGTGTTTCTTGTGGATTACGTAATAATAAATCAAGTTCAATCATATCAATTTCACCTTTTTCCATCAAAATCTATTATAATAAATAAAACCTAGACTCCTATTGATCAAAGTAAAGAGTCTCGGATTTAGGACAGTTGCCCGCAAGACACTTGCTCGTCGAACATTTGCTCGTGTGGAGGGTGTGGGTGGGCGGGTGTGGTATAAAGATAATGTACACATCCACACCTACGCCCACACCCACACCAACCCTCAAGATGCGAAATTCTGGCAAACTGCACTAGCATACCAAGGACTCGTTTTGTTAGTAAGTACTTTACAGTATTCTATTATTAACCTGTAATAATAATTGCATAGTAAAAATTAGTTTATGTTCTTCAAAAAGCCCACGATTAATATAAGAATATGAAGCAAATGTAATAGCATCAATAAGATTATCAATTCGTATACGTAATTCTTCATTTTGTTCTGCACGATCAATAGCTTTAAGAAAAACTGCTCGAAATGCTTTGAGAGAAAATTGATACATAAGATGTATTTTTGATAAATCATTCATAATAAAATAAATAATACACGCACGTATAGCTGTTGGTCTATATAATTCTCGTGTTCGATCTATTTGTTGACTAAATTTTTCTGCTTCGACTTTCTTTTGTTCAATTTCAAGTGCAGTATTAACAGTACGTTCAAGTGTAACAACAAGTTCAACATTTTGAATAAAATTTCCTTCAGCAGTTGCTAAACGAGCTAATAATGAATCTTCTAATTTTTTTAAATTGATTTTATATTCATTTTGTTGTTTTGTTACTTCAAATTTACTCTTTTCTAAATCCGGTCTTTCAACAGCAACAATTTCAGCTAATAATTGTGCTTCAAGACCATCTCGTGTTGTACTAAAATTAATTAATGTTGTTTGTGCTTGTATTTCAGGTTGAAAATGTGGATTTGCTAAACGTGTTTGCATTATTAAACGAAAATTAGGATGATAATCAATTTCTTTATCACCAAATTTAACAGCTTGTCCTTTACGTATTAAATTTCGACTTATTATAGGTTCCAATATTGAATCAATATTTTCTTCAATACATTCAAGTAAAAGAATATCACCTCGACGTACACATGCTTCAACACGATCAAGATAACCTTTACTATTATAACGAAGTATAACTAATTTATCTGTAAAACAATTTTTAATCCAACGAAGTCCTTGTCCTTGTGGATCAACCATTAATGGCCATCGTAAACAATAAGTTAAAATAGCAGCATTTTCATAAGATGTTTGATCAGCTGGAAGTCCTTGATTCATCCTATTGAAATGGAATATGATCTATTTTTGGCGAAGTATACTACCATATGATTTACCATTCTGCAATATCAGCATCATCGATCATAATTGATAATGGTTGTAGATTAGCTCTCATTGGTATGACTCC